AGTGATCAAAGTCTTCAGGGATTGATAGGATGTGTCTCCCAGCATGATTAGTATACAACTGGGCAGAATGGGTAGATACTTTACTCAATTATCAGTTTCTTCTTAACATAGATTTGGAGTTGGAAACGATTTAGAGGGTCAAGGAGTCCCACCCTCTCATTTTACAAATGAATAAACTGAGGCTGATTGCCACACATCTAGTCAGTTTCTAAGGCAGGATGGGGACTCTGGTCTTCCTGACTCCAAACCCAGGGCTCTGTCAGCTGTGCTGCCTCACTGCCTCTTCATTTTTATGCCTATTTGTCTTCATTCTTCTTCAGCAGAATAGTTTTGAAGGGGAAGAAGAGGAGTTAAGAGACCTATTTTAGTTTTTTTTTTTTTGAGTTGGTGTTTTAGACTAATTAATTGAAAGAATTTTTAGCCTCATTTTTCTCCCACTTTCCAGGCCTTCAGAGATCTTTCATTAGTTTAAGGATTCTTCTGTATGTATTTACAGACCTCTTTCCCGAATATAACTTAAAATATAAGTTGGACTCAATTCTAGACAAAGCAGTCATGATAAACTTCTGAAACTCAAAGAAAAAAAAAACCCCAAACTTGTTTTTTATTCTAAGCAGAGGTTTTAGTATTCATAAGAGATCAGTCGAGTGAATATTTTTTTAAATATTTGAGATTGAATGGAATTACTCAGTATTCTTAAGGTCATGGCAAAGATTGTTCTGGTTTCTGGGATTGTTCTAGCGTAAGACATTTGGACTACTAACGGGTGTTGATTTTTTTCCCCTGTGTTTTAATCTTTGTGGACCTGAGACTTAACATTTGTAATGTCTTTGCTTAGGTTGTAAGGAGCAGGTTAATTTCCTTGTGAAGCTGAAGGTTTTTCTAAGATGCGTGATTTTTATCAAGGAAGGAAGAAAGAAAAAGACCTGTGGAAAGAAATTGGCATTGAGGCAAAGCCTTGTCCTTTTTCCAGGGAAATGGACCCAACCCTATTTTCTGAGATAATGAAAGCTTTCTGAATTTACCTGAAAGGATTTAGGAGCACTAGCACACACACCCACACCCTGTCACCACATGCTGTTTAGTGTATGCAGAGGTTTTATCATTCATGGGGGAGGGATGAGAGAAGTAGTTTAGTGAATGTTTAAAAAAAAATAACTAACCTCTTGAGAATGAACAGAATTATTTGTGAAATTGAAGTCATATCAAAGATTGTTCTGGGCTTGTTCCAGTTTGAGACATTTAGCAAGCATTTCTGCTTTCTGATCTTTACAAAATTATGTCTGTGACTAGTGACGTTTATTTGTTTAGTCTTCCTCATGGAGTAGTAGTGTGTTGACTATTGTTCCAGGCTCATGTTTTATTCAATCAGAGGGCCTATGCCTAATAAAGGTTAGTGATGAGGATGATATCAGTACTAAAAAAAAAAAATTGTGCTCCCTCTTCCTGTTCTTCTTTCCTGTTTTGAAAAGCAGTATGCATAGCCTGTTTAAAGGACAGGGCTTTTGCAGGATTGACTTCCCTTCTTGGTTAAGGTTATCAGCTTTTCACATCCTCAATCTGACTACTTTTTTAGGTGCTCTTGGCAACTTTGGGTCTGGTGCTTAAGCTGGAACAGGAGTCTGTGAAAATAGGTTAACAAAAACAATTGATGAGTTTCTCTTCACACTTAGAGAGCAGTGATGAAGTTTCCGAAACAGCCCTCCTCTTGGCACTAAGAAATCATACGAGGAATCTGACCCATCTGGCATTAAGTAATTTTCCCCTGGGGAAGATTCCCAAGTGGGTTGTAAGATGTAAACCAACATTACTAGCATTGTTACCTTTGGAAGGAAGGCCTGTCCCCTGTAGCTGATGAGTGGCATTTTTGGAATGCCTGAAGCAACTCTGCCTAGCTGTCGAAACCTTTTAAAAGGCCCTCAGTGTGAGAGAGATGACTCTGGGATAGCTGCCTTAGTACTTCAAAAACAGGCTTGGCAGTTAGGGATTTGGAACGTATGAGGACGGTAAAGAGACTCCTTTGGAGGAAGGCAGCACTCTTCCTCCTGTCTCAGACTGCTTGGGCTTCTCCAGCAGGAGCTAGGGTGCTAAGGGAGAAGTTATGTTGTTGGGCCTGTTCAGTTCATTGAAATGTCTTCTTCATTCACAGGCAGCTTCCCTTTTAAGGGAAGCTTGCAGTTGCTATTTAAAAATAAAAACAAAATCCAAACGACTAATCCTTCATCATTACCAAAGCTACCATTAGCCACATAATGCTTTGGAGAGGAGAGTTTAAATAGTTCAGCTCCTAACTGAAAGAGATGCAAACTCCCTGGTAGGTGTTAAAGGAGTGTGTGAAGAAGATATGAATTACAGGACTTGAATCCAATATAAAGTGTGAAACCCTTAGTAAAAAATCATCATCGTCATTATCATGACATTTCAGCAATTTGGTGCAGTGGATAGAAGAACCCTCTTGGAGTCCAGGAGAACTGGGCTCACGTGGTACCTCTGACACAAACTGGCTACGTGGTGAGAGGCCCCTAACCTGCAGAGGAAACATGTCTAATGAGTCAAAGTTAGTTTGACTTGCACATTGATACCATCAGTGGTCATAGGGCCTATGCACGGTGCTCTCCACTGATGAATTTAGACGTTTGGATGGAAAATTTTTTTTACCAAGGCTCTTTTAAGTACATCGTCTCATCATACTCACAAACCATCTGTGAGGCAGGCAGAACAGACATTTCTGTCCTCATTTTATAGGTGAGGAAATTGAGCCTTTGAGAGATTGGCTTGCTCAGAGTCACACTCCTAATTTGAAGATCCAGTACTGATGGGGTTGGAATCTGAGCCCTAGAAAGGAAAAACTCTGGCCCCAGACCATTCCCCACCCTTGGTAATTCTGTTACCTCATGGACTACTTGGCCACTCTCCCACGGTCTTTCTGTATATAAGGTCCATCTTGTCTCCATTAAGATGCTCAGATTTTCACAATCTAGCCAATAGCCCATAGATGCACAGCCTCCTTAAGAGTCTAGCTAATATGGCGAATCTTCAATAAACTTTGTTTTTGGCTGCAAGAAGGCTTGGGTCGAATTCTTTCGGGCAGGACCCGGGTATTGTGATTTTGGGGTTCCAGGACCCCTAACCTCTAGACCGCATCAGTAGTTGAACTCCAGATATTTTGACTCTAGTCCAGGGTGCTTTTTGCTAAATTGCACTGCTTCCTGAAGACAACAGCATAATGAAAATGAAGGCTGTAGTGTAAAACCACACGGTTTCCTAAAGTGTCCACATGGGTAGCCCACCCCATTTTAAGGAGAACCACAGAAAGATATCATTTAACTGAGCTTAATTATAGAGTTATAGAACTTAGCTCCATAAAAGACCTTAGAGTTCATTCAGTCTAGGGCTTTTGACTGAGAAAAGTTAATTGACTTTGCCCAAGGGAATATTAATTTTTTCCCCAAGACAGTATTAATTATAACCCTTCCTTCCTAATACCCAGACTAGGATTCCTTCTACCTTTTTTTAGACTTTACCTATAAAAAAAAATTAGGTTTGCATTTTTTTATTCATCATGAAATGCTTAAATCTGACTCCCTCTTAACTTGAAAGATTAATAGTTTTAGCCTTGAATAGAGCATTAGCATTAAAACAGAAACTTAGACATAAGGAATCAGACTATTTTATCTCTAAGGTCTGTTTCAGCTCTAAAATCCTACAAGTTATAATCTGAAGATCATCTAACACAATTCCTACCTTTTCCAGTTATGGATACAGAAATCTAGAGGGCCCAAATGACCTGTCCAACATTCCACATAGAGGGAGTTTGAGGGCAGAGCCCTAATTAATCCTGCTTTATTGACTGTTAGGCCAGGGCTCCTTCCACTCCATGATGACAGTTTCTCTTAAAATTACCTCAAAGAAATTTTATCTTGTGTTCTAATCAACACCATTTTGGGTACCAGGTTGCCAGACATGACTGATGAAAAATGTTTTGGGAGATGGTTTAGGGAAGTATCTTGGCTTTATTTCCTTAGGGTTGCTGGCTACCTCATTAATGCTTAAATAAACAAATTTCCATGAGGGGCAGTAATGCCACAGGCTGTATTATCAGTCTGACATGACCTTAGTTTATCCAGTAGAGATGGAGTGCACTGATCTAGATTGGTGAAGTCTTTCAAAGATAGAAGGTCCCCAATTGAGATAGAACCTTAGGGAAAAGTCCTTCCATACTGAGTTCACTATGTAGTCAAGGAAATGTGATTGTTTGTCTTTTAGTTCTATTTTCAGATAAAATATCACCAATATATCTTCAGGTGGTTTTGCATAACATACCAGGTGAAATGCTTTTAAAATTAGATAGCATTTGAAATGTGGTCATACTCTTCAGATTTACTAAGCCAACAATATTAGACTAGTAATGAAATGTAATGAATACCTTCTGTTGCTGTTCTTTTTTAAATCACTTGACCTTTTTTGTTTTTTTTAAACTTGTTTCAAGACTTTCCATAGCTTCCCAGCAGGGACTGCTCCTTCCTCCAATGTCTTCATTTTCCTCTGTGATTTGCATGTAGGTTGTGGAATATCATTTATCAAGCAGGTTTTGTTTGACCTTTATGCTCTTCCCTTATCCTAGCTACATCACAGAACATGAGAATAGACTGGCTAGACTGGTTACTGTTTTTTGTTGATTTTTAAGAATGGATATTTATCGAGTGCCAGCAGTATAGTTGGTAATACATTAAACACAGAATTAAACATTTTCTTTGCCCAGTGGGCTTCTTCTCAAAATAGAATCCTGCATTCCAGATAATTGGGAGCTAGGGGTAGGGGCAGGATGCCAGTACATTTGTAAAAGAGATGGGTGATAGCAAGAAGGAGAAGGATGGATATAGTTCACTTTTGGAAACTGTAAAGTGCTTTGCATACCATCGAGAGTTTATGTAGATGTGAGTTGTGATTCTCATAGGCTTCTTGGCTCTAAGGGTCACCTCTCTACTCCTTTATTGCAGGTGGTATACTCTGAAATCAAAACCAGGGAAGAAGGAGAAAGAGCGAGGGGAGATTGAAGTGGACATCCAGTTTATGAGAAACAACATGACTGCCAGCATGTTTGACCTGTCTGTGAAGGATAAGTCCCGTAATCCGTTTGGGAAACTGAAAGATAAAATCAAAGGGAAGCGGCATGAGGAGCCTTCTGACAGTGCCTCGGCCATCGTCCCCAGCACAGTGCACACAGTAGACAGTGATGATGACTCTCCTACAAAAGACAAGAAGAAGAAATCAAAGATCAAAACCTTGTTTTCTAGATCTAGTTTGCAGAAAACATCCCTTTCCCAGTCCATGTCTGTCCTTCCTGTAGCTAAGCCTGAGAAATTGACACTCCGTCCAGGAGACTTCCAGTCCCAATGGGAAGATGATGTGGAGGAAGAATCCTCGTCACCCTCCAACAGTGAGTCTCATTGTCCTTCTCACAGCGCTTCTTCCCTGTCCATCTCAGTACAAAAGAAGTTTACAGTGGAGTTGAGTATAGAGTGGAGCCACCCCAGTTCTGTAGAGAGGAGACAGGTGAATCTTCTAAGCAAAGAAGAATCTTCCTTTTACATGCATTTCTCTGGTATAATGTTGTTGAGGAAGCCTTCTGTGTTTATTTCTGGGTTTCCTTAGTGAATGTCTGGCTCAGTAGTTGGCATTGTAGTAGCGCGAGTTCTTGGTACCTTTAGTCTGAGAAAAGATTGTGATTTTTGTCTCTCTGGGAATGCGTAACATATACAGTTCTCAGGCTTTTTGCCCCTTTTCAAGGTCTTTATAAGTTGCTATGACCAGGGGACATTGGTTCCCTGGTGACTAATCCTCTGTTGATGAACTTCCTTGCTCTGAGTACCAGGCTGTTCCTTTGTCAATAATACAATCTCACCTTGGCCCATAATTTTTAGCCTTGAACTTAGACTCTACTGATACCAAGCCTTCATGGAACCAGAGTCACCTCTGCAAAGTGAGGACTCGTAGGAGGAAGATTTTTACCAGGAGATCGAGTAGATGGTTCCCAGAAATTGTTCCATTTACACAAAAGGTTGTTTTTTTCTCATTCAGTCAATAAACATTTATTATGTGCCTACTAGGTACCAAGCATTGATCTAAGCCTTCACTGAGGATATAAAGAAAGGCAAAAGACAGGATTAATTGGAGATAATCAACAGAGGAAAGGTACTAGAATTAAGGGGGATCAAAAAAATTATACATATATATGTATGTATATATATTTATCTATCTATCTATCTGTTTATTTAAAGGTGTTAATAACAACCTGGAACACAGTAGAATTTTTTAAAAATATACCCAGTAGATAGAGAGCATTGGCCTCAAACTCAGAAAGGAGGGCCACTTAACCTTAAATAAGGATCCCTGAAGGTCACACATTGATTTAGAAAACCACACATTAACATTATTTGTGTTCTGTTGTGTTTTATTTATTGTGCTAAATATTTCCCAACTACATTTTAATCTGATTTGGTCTTAGAAGGTAACTTACATACTTTAGGATAGAGGCTCAGGCTCTTCTTTGTCATAGACCTCTTCTAAGAACAATGTTTTTAAATGCAGAAAAAATCTATAAGATTATAGAGGAAAGCAATTACATTGAAAATACATTTACATAAATACAGTTACATTCAAAATACATATGTATGTGTGTATACATATTGTATACACACACACACACGAGCTTAAGAACCTCATCTTTAGAAGAATAAGAAGTTCAGTTCACTGCTCTGGCATTCATGTTTTTGAATCCTAGACTTAAATGATTGGTCCTATGCTACTGGAGGGCCCATCTGCTATTGCCCATAGATGTAACATGATGTAACATGATGTAACATCCACTTTCTTTACTTGGTTAAGATTGGTGTACTTGTGACATCAAGGCTTGTTTGTTTTTCTTCCCATAGGCATGTCTCACAGGAGAACAGCAAGTGCAGATATCAAGCAGCTAAGTCAGTTAAACTTGACCCTTCCAAAGAAAGAAGGATTGTCCTTTTTTGGTGGCCTTCGGTCTAAGAATGACCAGCTCTCCCGATCTAATGTGTGTATCAATGGGAATCACATTTATCTAGAGCAGCCAGAGCCCAAAAATGAGGCTGTGACAAAGGACAGCACTCCATCTTCCTCCCCATCTCCTCAAGACTTTAGGAAGAAGCATTTATTTTCATCCACAGAAAATCTGTCTTCCAGACCTTCTAAGGAACCAGGGGAGACAGGGAGGATGTCTCCAGAATGGCAACTTTCTGGGTCTCTCCCACAAGAGTCTTTGAAATCTCTGACTCTGCCATCCTACAGACCAATTGTTAGTGGAGATGTGAATGTGGCCCCTGTGAGTACGGAAACTGAGAAGGAAAGTAAGGAGAACAAGAAACAGGAGAACAGAAAATCCTCTCTGCTGTCTTTGGTCACAGGAAAAAAGGATGCTGTGAAGAACAGTGAAGCCGAAAGCAGCCTTCCTAGTGTCTTGGTGAAGGAAAAGGAGAAGGAAGTCATGCCTAGGGAAGCCACGGCAAAGGAAAAAGAGGCAGAACTTGTTGAAATTCCAGTGAAAGACCTTGATGAGAAGCCTGAAGACTTGTCAGCCTCTGTCTCCAGACAGAGCAAATCTCCGAGCCCCACTGAGGAGGTGCCCAGGATGCAATCCAGAACAGAGCCAGAGCCCGAGCCTGAGCCTAAGCCTAAGCCCAGGCCACCTGCTCTTTCTGCAAGGGGGCCCCAGACCAAAGCTGTCAAACCCAGGTGAGTCTTAGCTCTGTTCATTCATTCATTCATTCATTGCCTTTACACTTCGCTGTGAAGGAGCCTCTAGTTGCACCAGATTCTAGGTCCTCATTCTCATGATTGTGATTACACAAGATCTTATAACTGCCAAATCAAGAAAACACTGTTGACTCTGGCTTTTAACTGGGCCTGCTGGTAAATTTGTGCAGTCTACAAATTTAAATAAATAAGTGCCAGCCCCAGTCACCAGGTCGGGGGCTGTGTTGTGCCAAGTAAACCTTGGTTAGCAAAGCTTACATCAAGTGAAGTTTAAACCATAATTTTTGAAATACTAAAATATTTCCTATATTGAAAAATACTCAGAAATCTGGTGGGGGTGTCAATCAGTAGAAAGAGACATGAATAAAAATCATTAAGAATAGGACTGCCTCAACAGAGCTCTTTCTATTGCTTTTTTCCCATAGAGGAACACTGCTAACCCTTTCTTTGCTTTCTACTCTCTCCAGGATTTTTTTTAACCATTAATTTTTATGGGCACTGGGAAGGTACAAAGCTAACCTGTATTTTCAGTCATAGGTGCCTAGTCAAAATTTGGCAGTTGTAGGAAAGCAATAGGTGTTTGATGGAAGATAAGAGAATATGGGATCAATCATAACTTTAATAAGCTAACTCGTGTTGCTGCTGTTGTGTGCATAGACCTGTGCTAATTACATTCTTCCTTGCAAACTGGGCATTTTTCTTGAAGACTAACACTTATTTCTTCCTTGCACTTGGATATAAGAAGGAAAAGACCTCAGGAACTCTAGTTTGCTCTGGAATATGCCTTGGGCTACTTACTTCCATGTTGGCTTGGTGTTTTGTTCCAAGAAGACTAACTAATGGAACATTTATGCTTCTTGGTATGACTGTCATTCACAGCAACAGTATTTCTGTATTTTGGGCTATGCATTACTTTTTTGGGGAGACTCTGCTCACTTTTCACACACACACACACACGCACGCACACACACACACACACACATACACACACACACACACACACAGAAAGCATACTTCTTTTCCAAATCTGTCCTCTGCCCTATCATCTACCAGCTTTAATGCTTTGAGAATTTTAAATGTCTTTTTACTGCTATAACAATCAAGTGACCCATCTCTGGATTTGTCTTCTAAATGAAACTCTAAGACTTTTTTTTACTCTGTCCCACGTCATAAATGACAAGCCCAAGTGTGGTAGACACGCTTGATAACAAAATATTCCTTTTGTGGCGTCAATTCTCCTAGCATGTTTAGATTCTTTTGACTTCTAATGTAATCATGTTACCAAAAGTATAAAAAATTCCTCTTTGGAACATCTCCTGTGTGTGTGTGTGTGTGTGTGAGATTGCATCTGCAGCTGACGTGCAGATTTTGTTTTGTCCTTTTCACAGACTGGGAGTGTCTCCAGAGGCTCAATCCAAAGCCGAGCTACCTCCTCCTCTTTATGATTCTTTTTTCTTTTCTGCCACCACTTCTGGTTCTAGCCTTGATTCTCTACCTTCTAAAGTGGGGCAAGAGTCAGACACAGAATCCTCAAAAAACCCTTCTGTCCTTTCCTCTTTCTCACCTCTCACCATAGATCCTGTTTCTACCTCTACTCCAATTGAAAACTGGCCTTTTTCTCAGGAGAGCCCGGCCAGTTCTGAAGGACCTTTCCTTCTTGCAGTGAAATCTCAGAAAGAGGGTTCAATTCGAGTTTCAAATACTTCCTCTGGTTCCCCAGGATCACTTGATAAACATTCTCTGTTGCATGAAGGAAATAGAGTCTCTGTTGAAGAGACTGGGGAGATAGATGCAGGAAAGAGTAAAGGGAGCAGGGAATCCTCAAGACCCTCCCTTGAGGTACTAGAAGATACGAATGATAAGCACCTCCCAAAAGAACAAAAAGAAAAGGTCCCAACATTTCCCCAGGTCAGCCGACCAGAATATCTCCCTCCATCTAAAGACCCCCAACAAAATAGTACTCTCATTCAAGACATAAGTGGGAGTGGAAAGCCTTGGATGAAAGGGAGTAAAGAATTTGCATCTTCTTGTGAGTCATCTCTGGAAGACCAAGTCAGTGATCATGGAGTGGTTTCTGCTAATGAAGGAGCTGAATTGCCTCGTAAAATGGAAGATTTGGCCACACCATTTGACTCTGTAGTTGGAAAAAGCAACTTAAGTGGTCTGTATGATAGAGAGGGCAGCAAGAAGATCAAGAAGCGTGTGTCCTTTTCTGAGGAGCTTTTTCTAGAAGAGGAGGTAGAAAAGGAGAAAAACAGACTTATAGTGCTGAAATCTAAAGGTGTAGTGAATGATACATTATTCGACAGCGAACCAGAGGAAATTGAGAAGAAAAAGATGACAACTGAACCAAACAGTCTTTCTTCACCGCTCAAATCAGGATCGAGGGCTATTTTTGGACTCAGTCATGATGAGCCAGCTTCCCTGACTGACATCTCTCTCTCCTTTGATCCACCTGTCCGTAGTGTATTGATGCTTGAGTCTCATGGGAAGCGTTTTTTAGAAGATCTGACGAGGGAGTCCAGTTCAGAAAAGGCCACTCCATCGTTCAGGATTGAGCGATATGAAAATTATAGTGAGAATTATCAGAGCAAAGCCAGTGATCTCGAAGGCCTGTTGTCCGACCCCTTGAGAAGTCTTGGTTCGGTTTCAGATCTCAGATCTCCAGTTATGGGGGATCTGAACCTGACACTTCCTTCTATTCCAGAAGTAACATCAGATGATGAGAGAGTAGAACAGTTGGAAGATGTCCGAACGACTCCAACCTCAAAGAACCATCTGGAAAAGGAAACACCGTTTTTCTGCTCTTCAGCCACTTCTTCTGAGGAGGAAAACCTGAGCCCTGATGCAGGGGTATCCACATTGTTTCATGAGGAACAGAATGCCCTCCGAATGGAAAAACCTGAAGATTTTGTTAACTCTTCCATATTGTCTTCAAAGCAGACCACAGCACTGGGTGTTTGCAAACTACACGGTGGGGAAGGCTTAGGTTTAGATAAAGATATCCTAATCCCTGAGAGTTTGGAGAAGCAGGAATGGAGGGAGGAGGACAACCATACTGAGGAAAGTAGGAGTCAAAGGTCATCTTCCCAGGGCTGTCCTGTTTCGGGTCACTCCCTTTCTGAGAACTTTAATGCAACACACTCTTTCCCTGGCTCTCTACACTCTGACACTTATCACACAAATAGAGCAGAATCTCCCCAAAAAACATCAGCAGAAAGCTCGGCTGCTAAAGTTGAAAATTCTGACAAGACGAAGCAGCTTCTCCGGGCGTGGGTTTCGCCCTCAGAGCCACATCCATTCCCAGCTCAGCCAACTGGTGGAACTACTGTGTCTGCCAAGCACAGGTGAGAGACTGGGAAGATCTTCTATAGAAGTGTGGGATATTTGCTTTTTTTTTCAGTGTCACACCAAAGGCTTTTGGTCCTGAGAGGCCCCCAAACTCTAGCTTTTTAAAAGACCAGCCCATCTTTTGGAGATACCTAGAAATTTACCTACTAAATGGCAGATATGTAAGCCAGTACGAGGTCTTTTTTTTTTTTTTTTTTGGCCTTAGTTATAATAGTTGTAGGGACCAGTTTGTAAAGCTAGGTCTGACCCCTAAAAGAATGGTCTGCAAGAATATGCTGTGAGCAGATTCTGAACTATACCCATGAACAGCTTCAGATATTTACAGGAATCCTATTTTTAAAAAAATAAACATTTTAAATTTCCTTTTTCCCTATTTTTCTGGCCCTCGTTCCAGTGTTTGGCTTTTGTTTTTAAGTATGGGCCAAATGAGACACTGGTTTGGCTGTGATTGTCCTTGCCTAACTGTTGGGCTGTAGATGCAGAGGGTTGCATGGTGTGCAGATGATTCCATAACCTTTAACCGTTTGTAGAAATGGCTCTGTTGAGAGAGGAGAGTCTGTCTTTAACTGATTCCCAGGGCACATTATTAGAGAAATGGTCAGTGTGTTTGGAAAGGTCAAAACACTTGGCTTGGGTAGCACTTAACTGTGCTTCTAAATGATTAGTTTTGATTTGTTTTGCTTCTTTTGGGGGACTGGAGATAAGAAGGGATCATTGTTTATGACTTCTCTTACATGACCTAGGGCCTTACCGGGTGATGTTTCCCTTGTCTGAATAGTCTAAATAAATAAATCCACTTTCCTACCCCTTCCCTCCTTCTTTTTCAGAACTCATCCTGTGAAACCAATGAACACAACAGCAACAAAGACCCCTCCCACCAGTTTGGGTACTGCTACCATCATCAGTGAGAACTTGCTTAATGAGACCATTATGAAGGTGTGTTTCCCCTGAGAGTTCCATATTAGAATGTCAGCTGCTCAGCTTTCAGGAGTTTCTCATTTTTAGTATAGATGTACTACTGTAGGTCAGTCTTTGTGAACCTTGGCCTGTTTTCTGCTTTCTAAATCTCCTTTCTCCTGTGGAATGATAAGCTCTTTGAGAGCCTGGATCTTTTATTTTTGTTTTGGTAGCTCCACTGCCTGGCAGAATGCTTGTGTTCATTGTGTTCATAGTTTTTATAAATTGACATGTTGTGCCCCTTAACCCCTCCAAAGTAATGATGTTGGTGTCCACTTCTTGCACTTTAATAATGTAGGAAAACAAAACAAAAAAATTATCTTGATGTTTGAAAACAGTTGGTCACTTATGCATCTGCATTTGATAGTTCCTCCTTTAGGTCCTGTCCACTTCTGCAGAAGAGTATCTTGTCTTGTAACAGAAAAGAAGCATGCTCACTGGTTGGCTGTCACATGAATGAGAAAGAGACTAGTTGTTCACGAAGGATCAGGATTCCCTAAAATAAGCAAAAATAACAGCACATGTTTACCTAGTATTTTGTAGCTTAAAAAAATGTTTTCCTTACCAAAAAACCACTGAGATTATAAACATTTCCCATTTTTTTGTTTGGAAGGTTTAAACTAAGAGCAGTTAAGGGCTTTGCCCAGAGGCAGGCAGCTCGTAATTTGAACCTAGGTCTTCCTTCCACTATGGCAGATGTTCTCATGATCTGTAAGGGAGGAAAGGTGGTGGGAGTAATTGGTAAATGTACCCCAGAAATGGTTGTAGATGGGTTGGGATTGCTAACTGACATCAGTGCCAACACCAGAAACATTGTGGCTAGAAGCTATTTTAAAAGTTTTCTGGGAGCTCATTCATTCCTTCAGCAAACAGTGAAGCTTATGCTATGCAAAGCACTAGAGGGATAATCAAATTTGAGATGAGACAAAGTTCTTGACCTCATATATAACTTCCTTACTGTGGGCATAATGAGTCATTTGCAAGGAGGCTAAATTATCAATATGTGTAATTAGAAATGAGTTAGCACCTTCTTGCCCCTTGCCCTGTCTTCCTTTTCCTTCCAGTCTTGACATAGCCAGTAATCATTGTTCCCCAGATCATTATCCTCAGTTAACATTTACTCTGCATTGATGTGTGTGCTAAGTTAGGCTTAACAAGAACTAGAAATCAGCCATCACATGTCTGTCCGCTGACCTTTGTGGTGGAAAGAGCCCTGGATTTGGAGTCAGAAGACTTGGGTTTAAATACCAGCTCTTTGGTTTGGTAATGATGTGATTTGGGACAAATTACTTCCCTTCTCTGGGTCAGTTTCCTCACAGTATGGTGAAAGGGGCAGTGGTTTGGGGGTCAAAGATCCTGGGCTCAAATCCTAGCTATGCCACTTACTGTATCTGTCACCTTGGGCAAGCCTTCTGGACCTTAGTGTCCTTATCTGTAAAAGAAGGGGCTTGATGACCCTTAAGGCACCTTTTAACCCTGGGGTCTGGATGTGTAAAATAAGGGGTTGGATTAGCTCTCTTAGGGTTCCTTCCAGCTCTAAATCCTGTGACTTCCTATATCCCTGCAGCCCCTCATCCCCCCCCCAAAAAGCCAATCCAAAACCGACAACAACTCTATATGACTGAAAAACTCTGCTTTTCCTCTAGGAGACATGTAGTTGGGAGGAGAAATAAAATAAGCTTTTTTTAAAAATTACTTTCTTGGCTTAAATTATGACTGAGCAAGTGCCTGTTTGAAAGTCTGTGCTAGACATTCAACAGAACAGAGGCACTTCTTACTCCCTAAGATGGGATGGCAGCAGCTGATAAACTGGATAAGAGACCGCGTGGACAGCATGAAGGAAGGATTCAGTAATAAAAACTAGGAGAATTCTACAGCTTCCATTCCCCCTATTGGCTTTTTACTTTGGAATGGAATGCACTTGGATTCCAGAGTGGAGCACCTGGCTCTCCATCAGTTGGAGACATTGTTTTAGCCTCCTTTCAATATGTACTTAATCAGAGTAATGTGCTTTGAGGGGTAGAATACTATTAATAATTATAGGCCCTTCTCTCTCCTCCCCCCAGTCTTTCCCCCAGAACAAAAAGTAGTAAATAGTACTTGTCCTATTTCTTAATATCACCGGTGGGGTGGGGGAGGGCCCCCGATGCTGCTATTGACTTCTTTCTAACCTTTGTCTTAAAAATACTTACTGTATTATACTATACTGTTCATATTCCAAATTAATATAGTAGTAATGCTTCCTAGAGCCATCCAGTAACTGGGCCGCATTTATAATAAGTGCTTTGTACTTCAGTTCCAAGACGATATTTATGTTAATGCCTTTCTTTGGAATGTTGCCATAGCAAGGGGGAGGTTAAGCAAAGGAATTGCATAGCTGGAGTTATTAAGACCTTCTCAACTAAACAAGAAACAGCAGGGTCAGTACAGGGCTTCTTTTCTCTCTGCTAATGTGTTAATGCCTCAGCTCTTTATGATTGAGTATTGGGAACCCTAACCAGACCAGAAATGCACTTGATACACAAGTGACTTCAAACTTCAATTTGAAAATAATAAAATTAAATGAATTCCAAAGCTCTTGAGCATTGGACCCTGCAGGGTTTGTGTGATCTACTGTTCTCTCCCTGTACCTTGGTTGCTTGCAGAAAAGGGTCTGTTTGAGGAAGCTGGTTTTGGGCTGTACATGCCAATAAGGCCTATGTCATTAGGCATGGCCAGTGTGTTAATTTGTTTTACATCCCTGCAATTCTTTGTTGCAAGAGAGGGTTCTACTGGGGATGAGGCCCCAGGACTTCATTGGGAAAAAGAAGATAGATATGTAATAGGAGTTTCTGACTTCAGCAAGACAGTGTGTAAGTGACTTATTACCCCAAACTGTCATTGAACTTTCTTTGAATTCTGTTTTAAGCAGTAAAATGAGAGAAGTGATTTTGTTCCAGTTCTGAGGGTGGAAGTTCTAAGAAATAATTTTAAGCACTTAAGGAATTAAGAAAAAATATTGGTACATTCTGTTTTGCCACATCAATCACTTCCCAGTATCTCTTAATTGATTATAATTGCTTCATTCTCTTTGGGGTGACATGGAAAACCCCTGATGCCTCCCTGGCCCTCAACTGCCCATGACTTCACTTCCTATTTTACTGAGAAGCTCGAGGATGTACATCTGACTGGAACTTCCTACTTTCATCACACCCACCTCTGCTCATCCTGTCTTCTGGAGGAGGCAGGGGGTATAATGGCTAGAGTGCTGAAGCTAGAGTTAGGAAAATGTGGATTCAGATCTTACCTCCAGCTCTTGCTAGCTGTGTGCCTGTGAGCCCTTATCTATGAATTGAGTATAGTAATACCTGTTATATTTGCCTCACAAGATCGTAGTGAAGATCAAAATGAGGTAAGGTGTGTGTAAAGAAAGCACTTCACAAATGTTAATAGACTGTTTAAATGTCAGTTCTTGTTATTTTTTCCCCCAGTCTAATAAGAGCTGTCTTTTCTTCATTCAAGAATAACCCCTTACTATAGTCTTACCACCAGGATTTGCAAATCTGGCCTTATTTCCATTTCTTTATGTAAAGCTTGCCTGACTGCTAAATCCAATCACCTTTTTTCTGATCTCATCTTTCTTGGGGCTGCAGCCAACCCTTTGACCAACCCTTCTTCCCTGCTTTCTATGCTATCCTGGTTTTCCTTCTATGTCTCTGTTTCTTCTCTCTCCTTGTAGGGTTCCTCTTCTACTCCCCACTCCTTAAATATGGGCACTGTATTGTTCAGGATTCTGCCTTTGGTCATCTTTTATATATGAATCATCTAGGTGGTACAGTGAGTGTATAGAGCACTGCACCTGGACTCAGAAAGACCTGAGTTTGAATTCTGCCTCAGACACTTATTATTTGTGTAAGCGTGTATCTTATTATCTGAGAAAGTCACTTAACATTTGCCTCAGTTTCCCTATCTGTAAAATGAGCTGGAGAAGGCAAACCACGCCAAGAAAATCCCAGATGGGTTCACAAAGAGTTAGACATGACTGAAATGACTTGAGCGCAACAGTCTCCTCCCTCAGACTGTAAACCCCTTTTTATGACAGTCCCCACCCCCACCCTGTTGTATTTGTCTTTGTATCCCAAATAACTCATACCACCATGCCTTTCTGGTGCTTAGTTGGGCCTCAGAATCCATCGAATGAGTGATTCAGAGCCAAAGGTGTCCTCTTCTTAGAGAAAGAAAAAAAAGGCTTCTGTAAGTGGAAGCTCATCACTTATTTGCATGGAGACTAAATACAGCCCCTTTCTTTGTCTCAAAGACAGTGTTAAATGGTGTAAATAGAATGAGCTTCAAAAACTGTACTGGTCTCTGTCATTGGTAACCTTGACTTTGTGAATCCTTTTTGCTGCACTGCAGGACAGCACAGTGTAGTAGAAAGAGCGTTCCCTGGCATCAGCATCAAAGGGTCCTGGGTTCAGGTCCCTCTTTTGCTACAGATCAGACATTTGATTGTGGGCAAGTTGTTAAATTTCCCTGGGACTTAGCTTCCCTATCTGTAAAATGAAGGGGTTACCCAGAGTCACATCTAAGGTGCTTCTTGCTCTCAGTGATTTTTGGATGCCCACTCTTAAGTAAAAGCTCCTGCTGTATATGTATTAAAATGGTTGTTTCCTGCTTTTCACTCATCCCTTCATTCAGCACTAATGAAGGAGGTGTTGGGGACGCATACTTCAGCTAGCACAGGTGTTCTGAGATTGCTCTAGAAATGTCCTTCTAGTCCCCCTACTAAGGAATTGGAGCTTTGGATATCAGTACTGGTCCTCAGTGCTTCTCTGTGAGTCTAGGGGCCTTGTGGAGAATACAGCTCAGCCTCAAGCTCTCTAAATCATCAGTGCCAGTGAAACACAGGATCTCTTTATAGGTCCTCTGTCCTTTGATCATGAGAGAGAACATGAAGGCCTGGTACAGAGAGAGCTACAATGGCCTGAGGGTGCTTGATAAATGTTTGATGGAGGTCATTTTGATCTAGAGATGCTTGGCTTTGATTCCCTATATACTTGAAATAAGTATTCCCAAATGACTTAAATTGGGGTCTCTGCCTGGGGTATAGAGCTTGTAATGCCACTCCTTTAATGTTTTACTGGTGCTTGTAATCAACTCCCAATAACTGATTTGGAAAGGGAGCTATTACTTGCTGTCCTGGAAGTCTTTTTCTCTCTTCTTTTTTTTCTTCTGAACCTGTATCTCAGCTTCCTGTCTCTTCATGTAAGACCTAGGTTAGAGGATCATAGGGTTTTCAGACTAGAAGGGAAGGACTTTCTGGCCCAGTTGCCTCATTTTACAGATGAGGAAGCTGAGGCCTCGGGATTGAAGTGCCTTGCTCAGAATCACCAAGGTGGTAGTAGCAGAGCTTAGGTTCAAACCCAGAACCTCGAACTCTGACAGTGTTCTTTCTGTTGTACCAGACTGCTGTTTTTTCCAGTTGTATATTAATAATTTTGAAAAGTTTCACATTTGTCAGCATGAGCTGTCAGTTTTCACAGATCAGCCCTACAGTGGGGCTGTCATTGTCATGGAATATGTGATTCAATTGGCAGGTCTTCCAAGGGGTCCTAGGTTACTAATTATTTATTTTCCTTGTGTTGCTTTAAAAACTTTACATTCCTATGGAGGAAGGTGAGAGGGAATGAGTGAATCTTATTCTCATCAGATTTGGCTTAAGGAAGGGAATACCATACACACTCATTTGGGTATATAAATTTATCTTACCCTACAGGAAAATAGCGGGGACGGGGATAAGAGAGCAGAGGGGTGATAAAAGGGAGGTCAAATTGGGGGAGGGGGTAATCAGAAGCAAACACTTCTGAGGAGGGACAGGGTCAAAAGTGAGAATAGAATAGACAGGAGGCGGGATAGGGTGAAGGGAAAGGTAGTTAGTTTTTTACAACATGACTACTATGGAAGTGTTTTGCATGACTACGCAAGTATAACCTGTATGTAGTTGCTTGCCTTCTCAATAAGGGTGGGTGGGGAGGGAGGGAGGGAGAAAATTTGGAACCCAAAGTTTTAAAAACAAATGTTAAAAATTGTTTTTACATGCAACTGGGAAATAAGATATACAGGCAGTGGGGTTTAGAAATCTATCCTGCCCTATAGGAAAATAGAAGGGGAAGTAGGTAAGAGAAGAGGGGGGAGATTGAAGGGAGGGCAAATTAGGAGAAGGGGTATTCAGAATGCACGCCATCTTGGGGTGGGGGGAGGGATGAGATGGGGAGAAAATTTGGAATTCGAAATCTTGTGGAAGTGAATGTTGAAAACTAAAAATTAATTAATTAATTAAAAAAACCCAACTTTACATTCCTCCTCCAACCTCTTTCATGGAACCCCTTCTTCCCACTCAACCATCTGATGGCCTTATAGTTGCCTCATGCTTCACCGAAAAAAATCGAGATCATTTGCTGAGAAACTCCATCTTCTCCTCATCTTATATCACTCAGATGTCTTCCTCTCAATCTCTCCTCTTTTACCTCTCTCAGAAAGGGCAGCCTTTCTCCTTGTCCAGGCAAAGCTCTCCACTTATATCCTTGATTCCTTTTCATGTCGTCTTCTCCAGCAAATTTTCCCCTCTGTCATCCCCACTCTCTCACTAATAGTTGACCTCTCTGTATTTGCCAGCTACTTCCCTCATGCCTACAGATATTTGCATATCTCCCCCACCCTTTAAAAAGAAAAACAGCAACCCTTCATTTGATCTCAGCATCCCTGTTAGCTATCATCCTATATGTCTTCTCTCCTGAAAGACTAAACTCTTTGAGAAAGCAGTCTGCACTAGGTGATTTCACTTCCTCTTGTACTTCTGAACCCTCAGCAGTATGGCTTCTCGCCTCTTCATTAGACCAAAACTCCTCTCTCCAAAGTTACCAATGATCTCTTCTTCAACAAATCTAATGGCCTCTTCTCAATCCTCATCCTTCTTTACCTCTCTGCAGTCTTTGATAATGTCTATCAGCCTCTTCTCCTTGATATTCTCTTCTTACCCAATAATGTGGGGTGTCCTCCAAGGTTCTGTCCTGGGCAGTCTTCTCTTCTCCCTCTACAGTATTGTTTCTCATGGTGATCTCATCAGCTCCCATGAATTTTCATCTTTCTGTGGATGATTTTCAAATCTATTTATCCATCTCCAGTCTCTTTCCTTACCTCCATTCTCACGTCATCAATTTCCTGTTGAATATCTCAGATTGTCTCATGGACACCTCAAACTCAACACATCTAAAACAGAATTCATTATCTTTCTTCCTCAGTGCTGTCTTTCCCAGCTCCCCTCTTAGCATCAGTCACTCAAGCCCTAGATGTCATCTCAACTCTTTGCTTGTAACCCCAGATACCCTATCTGTTACCAGCTTTGTTGTTTCTACCTTCACAATATCTGTTGTATACATCCACTTCTCTCCACTGTTGCCATGCTGGTGCTGTCCCTCAACACCTCATGTCTAGGCTACTGTAATAGCCTTCTGATATGTTCCCTTGCCTCAAGTTTCTCCCCATTCCAGTCCATTCTCCACTCAGTTGCCCAGGGGATCTTCCTAAAGCTCGAGTGTGACCATTTCAACCTCCTACTTTATCAACAATTACAACCTCTGGGATCAAATTATAAAATTCTTGGTCTGATTTCATAACCTGGCCCCTTCCTGACTGTCTAGTCTTCTTCCACTTTATTCCCTTTACCACCTCTGAGATGCAGTGATGCTGGCCTCCTTGTTGTTCCTTGCACAAGACACTCCGTCTTCAAATTCTGTGCTCTTTCACTGACTCCCTTTTCCCTGTAATGCTCCCTCTTCTTGGCCTCTGCCTCTTGGTATCTTTCAGGATTCAGCACAAATCTTACCTTCTGCTAAAGTCCTTTATCAATTGCTTTTCCTCTGAGATTAACTCCCATTTATACTGTATGTCTTGTATATACACAGTTATTTACGTGTTTTTCCCCCCATTGGAGTGTGAGCTTCATGAGACCAGGGACCTTGTTTTTTTGCCCTTCTTTGTAACTCCAGAACTTAGTTCAGTGCTTGGAACATGGTAAGCACTTCATAAATGCTTATTGACTGATAACTTAAATTTTCCAGTTTGACTTTTTTTTTCTTTTCAATTCTAAAGAAATACAAGCCATCTGATCCAGAATTCGCTTATACTCAGTTAACCCACGACGAGCTGATCCAGCTGGTCTTGAAACAGAAGGAAACAATAAGCAAGAAGGAGTTTCAGGTTCGTGAACTGGAGGACTACATTGACAACTTGCTTGTCAAAGTCATGGAAGAGACCCCCAACATCCTCCGCTGTCCAGCGCAATTAAAGGATAAAGCAGGGAAGATGTGAGTCATGGCAATAAAGGAATGAAACGATTTTTTGTAAGTTTGTTTACACCTCCTTTTGAGGTCGTGGACTTTCAGTATGTATGACAACCGGCAAGTAGGATCTGAATCTGAATCACCAAATAACTCCCTTGTAAGTACTCTGGCAAGAGAGTCTTTTCCACTGACTGAAGGCAGGTTAATTATGACAGTGAATCTCTTAATGTACATTCCCAGAATTTTATTCAAGACTCTCTCCCTTTAAGTGCATCATAAATATTTTATTCATACTAGGGGCATAGTAACAAGATCTAATCTATGAGCCAGAGATTCAGAAGGCAGGGAAACCATTCGTGCATTTTTAGCTCTAGGGTTTTCTAACTTTGATGTTTGGATTTTTTTCCTTCCTTTCACCCCAGTGTCTATCTGTGAGTCTTTATAGCACAAAGTGGACTCATTTTCTTGAGTTTTATTAGCTTAGGTATAGTTCTCCTGGCCTTAGATGTTAAATTTTGATACTTTAACATTTTTGATATTGCTTCTTGGGTTTGCCTCTGGTTATTCGTTTAACCTTGGCCAGGGTCATTTAGAGACTACTTTTTTAAAGTGCTCGGGGGTATGCTAAATGAGCTGTTTTTTCTGAACACAAACTGCTGGTCTCACATACCGAGCTTTGACTAGGCCCATGTGATCTTTTCCCTGCAGGCCATGGAATTAGGAGATAAAATGGGGGAAGCCGGTAACACAGCTGTCCTGTACTCCCTCGCATGTGGTCAGGGAGACTCAGGAAGAGTAACTGGGATCTTGATACCAGGCTTCTCCTAGGCAGGAAGATTATAGAATTATAGAGAGGAAATTGAGACAGATGAAACCCTGAGGAGACACTGACAGGTTAATGCTAACCCTAAAGTCACGTAACTATTAAGAACCAGAATTAAAGTCTAGGTCTTAACTCAAAATCTAATATTCTTGCCCTAATGCCACATTGCATACTGAGAGTATGTTGATGATCTGTCTATCTTCTGTAAGGATGTGCTTCCTTAATTCCCACAGTGGCTGCACCCAATTCTCCAATTTCCTCAGTAGTCTTATCTTAAGAAAACAGGGTTTATGGTGGAGCATGCCATTTGGATCCTAGAGGATGGGAAACATAGACCAGTCTCAGGGCCTCCACAGTAAGAGTGTTCCTTGGTCCCACTTGTAATGAAATCTGGCTCATTTCTAAGTGGTTGAGGAAGTTACAGCCTTAATATATTTAGTAATAATTTTACAAAGCCAGGAGCAATCAGAAATGACCCAGATGGTTGATACATCAAAATCTGCCCATATGCTTCAGTTTGCTGCTGCTCCTTTCTTTTGATTCCATGCCAAGGGGATAAAGAGGGGGAAAGTACAACAGGCATTCCTGGTAAGAATTGGAAAAAGCAAGACAAGCATTCATTTCTGCATTCATAGTTGTTATGTTATTTTAAAAACGGAATATTTTTTATAATCCAAGCACAAAACTAGGTCGTTTATGCCCTTGTGAATATTGATGCCATTGGGACATTTCTTGTATTGCACATCTCAGCTCTGATGTCTTCCTATGGCAAGTTTTTTGTGGGCCCTTAGTGTGTCAAGGTAGAGACCGAGAGACTATAGTAAAGGTTGTTCAGTTGGGAATAAGTTGAGTGTAAAGCTGCTTCTGTTTCAAAGTTCAGAGTCCATACTGCTTGGATTGGTGAACAAGAAGGAAATCTCTCCTCTTTTTTTTAAGGATTGCTTTTGCTGCAGTATTTGTTATATCAGAGCACTTTAATTTGAAGGGTGGTACTGTAATTCCATTTAGCTAAATGGCTTTTTTTTTTTATTAAGTGTGAGTGGGTTTGCCTAAAACTGTTATATTTAATGTTCTACAACACCGGAGACCACTGGAAGCTTCTTTTCAGATAACTTGTATTTTGTAGTGATGCAAAATATATTTATATACACACACATAAGAATCTATCGTCTTTTGAATTATGAAAATGTATATGTATATATTTGTTCTTTATTTTGTTTCTTACTTTATATAAAACTTATTTTTTACTGTGATGACCCAAGTGTGCTAGAAAACCTGAGGCAAGTTTGTTTTGCAGGATTTCTTTTTTTTTTTAAGAAGCAACTGGTATGGAGACGTTCAGTACTCCTCATGATAGATGATTGGTTTGATAATCTTTCTTGCTAGGACCTCAGGTATGTAATGGCACAATTAGTATTTGAGTGAGACAACTTCAGAGGAGGGAAATGGACCCAACTGCTACTTGGGGATTGAGAAGGAGAATGAAGGCGTGTTTGGTTCAAGTGCCTCTAACTCCCCAGCACTGCTGGGAAAAAACTCATTCTGTAGCTTTACCTCACTAAGCAGTAGTTTGGAGATTGCCCGAGGATCTCTTCTATTTAATTTACACGTTGGAAAAGCCTTAACTTTTTTTGAGCCATTAGCAGAGTTTGGCAAATTTATAAAAACTGACTGTATCCAGTTTCTGGGCAAGCCTCAGGGGCTTTTAAATAAACCAGTAGAAGAATGGGGACTTGCCTCCAAGCTGTGTTTTAAATGGCAGCCTAATTGGTATCTAGACAGAGATGTGTTCTACATATCTCAGTGGCAGGAGCTCTGCTGTATTTGACAGTGCCCTGACCACCTCTTGAAAGGAACCAGTGCCTTTTAAGCATCAAATTCATTTCGAGAGTCAGACCCCTACAGTGTCAAACCTCTGCCCAGAGAATTTCTTATGCCATGTGGTACCTTAGATATCTTAAACTGGGCTTCCCCCTTCTGTTTACCATTTTATTTGGGTGCTCTTTCAGGACACAGTAGAAGGGAGGAAAAGAAAAAAAATCTTCCCAGGCTGATGGTGAGAAAGAGAGAGAATGATAGAATATGAAAGACAAAAATGGAGGGAGGGAAGGGAGGAAGAGACAGAGACAGAAAAGAAAGTCCCAGGAGTGGGGACTATCCAAAAATTCCACAACTATGAAGGATTCTTAGCCGGTAGGAAGATGCATATTGAAGTTATGGAGGATCTAATTCATTTTCTCAGTCACTGATTAAGTCGATGCTGCCTCCAGGGCTGAAGGATTCCTGGCACTAAGCTGAGAAGCTAATCTAGGTCATGGGGGATTTATTACCAAATCTCACTTTGGGTATGGTTTCTCAGTCTGCTGTAGAGGTTGTTTGTGAAATGAAAACAAAATGTTGAAGGATCACCTGGTGTCTTTGGATTATATTATGTTTGTGTTTGATATTTCCTGCATTGTTACTTTGGGACCTTTGGATTTCTTTGACTTTGTTTTAAGAAGTGAAATCTCTGAGAACACTAAATAAAATGATCCTGTTCTAAGTCCTGTGTCAGTGGCTTACTGGTACACCTGTGCTAGAGACTCCTTTTCTTCACTCAGAAAACGACTTCCACTTGTAGGGAAGGAAACCTACCCATCCCTTGGTTCTTCTTGGTCCTTCCTACTCATACTCTCTTAATCTGGGCCTTGTTGAGCTTAGAATTCACAGGAGGAACAACTTTTTTTCCTCCTCTCTGTCAATAAGCACTGCCATAGTTACTAAAGGCACAGATCTTATTCGATGTGATATGATGGGTAGGAGTCAGAACTGGGAGGGACCAGAGAGATCTATTCTGTACCTTTTTTTGGATTGAGGAATTTGGGTTCCACGTCACACAGGTAGTATGCAGAAATACAAGGATTTGAATGTGGGCTCTCAGATATCTAATCCAGCCCTCTTCAGTGGAAAGAACACAGGAATTCTGCTTCTGACCTTTACTAGTTGTATGACCATAGGCAAACCATTGTACCTCTCTGAGGCTTCAGTTTCCTCATCTGTAAAAGAGGGATAATATCTATGGTAGTTAACTCACTTGGTTGGAGGGTCAACTGAAATATTGTAGGTATGAAGTACTTTAGCAATCTTAAATTACAGTGTAAATGTCAGCTACCTGTTATTAATGAGGATTACCTCAGATCCTCCACCCTGCCTGTGCCTTTGTTATCTGTATTAGTATGTAGTCCTTCTTGACCTCCTTCCCTATCCAAAGGGAGTGTTTCATTTACATTTGTAGCCCTAAGCTAATTCCATTTGGTCTTAAAACCATTCTTGTTTTTAGGAGTATGGGGACAGTTGATTTTGTTTTTACCAGCCAGGATGAAGGTTGTGTTAGGGGCTGTTTGAGTAGCAGTCCTGGGCTTAGCAATTGAGAACTCCAACAAATCTCACAAAAAGGGATCATGGTCTGTCATTGGGGGTGAGCAGACCGGGGAAGGGACTGCTGCTACCAACTGTTGATCTCTTTCTTGGTTGGCTACTAGGAATGGCTAAAATCTGCCCACTGACTGAATGCAGTGAAGGTCATGGGATCCCAAAGTCTTCCTGAGCCTCAAGTGAGCTCCTACCCAGAAGCCCACCTAAAGACATCCTGAGGTCTGTCTCCATGGGGTACAGTGGGGCCTAATGTTCCAAGGGCATCTTTCTCCAGATCTCCCTACCCCATGTTTCCCTTACTTGTCAGAATTGCTAATCAAACCATAAGCATCATTTCTAGGCCCAAGGGGCTAGGAGCATTGTGCCTATTCCTTTTCCATTAAAAGGCCCCTTCTGCTTTGGTCCCCCCCTTCCCCCCCCATGCAGAAGTTCAGATTAGGCTCAGACGTGTAGTGCTTGGCCTCTAATGAGAGGCTGTTTCTCCTATTCTGACTCCTTACACCTTGTCTTGATGCTTGAGAAAATAATTTATTTAAAGCTTAGGTTCTGGGTCATATCTAGGGTCTCTAAAGGGGAGTAGAAAGTTACTCAGTGTACAATGGGAGCCAAATATGGGGCAAGTATTTATTTCTTGTATTCAAAAGAAAAATGCTAAACACAAAATGAGTGGGCATTGAGAGAAAGATAAAACAGGATTCAATGACTTATTAACTACATATATGAGATCATATGTATATACAATTATAATATAGTTATAACTCTATCTCCTGGGTGATGGCTGCTTAAACATCATAAGAACATAAGCTGTTTGCGGGACTAATTCCCGAATATATAAGCCACTTTTCCCTTCTGTGCTTTCCCCTTCATGGTAGATTTTTTTTCCAATTAATTTATTTTTCGTTTTTAACATTCACTTCCATAAAATTTTGAGTTTTCAGTTTTCTCCCCCTCTCTTTTTCCTCCCCCCCAGATGGTGTGCAATCTGATATAAGCTGTACTTGTACATTCATATTAAGCATATTTTCCCATTAGTCATGAGGTAAAGAACAGAACTAATGGGAGGAACGTGGTAGATTTCTTCTAGTAAGCCAGGTCAGGAATTTAATTCATTCTTTTGCCAGTGGTCATTTCCAAGAAGTACCAGAGTTGTTGTTGGAACCTCCTGCCCTTGATACTAGCCAGCTCCAACCAAAGGACCCAGGATCTCTAGTGTGCTCATGTGTTCCTGGCCACTGGGCAGCCTGGGTGGAGGATTAGGGAAGCTGCCTTTCTCCCACCCCTCCTAGCAAGTGACTCACCAGTCTTAGACACAAGAAGAGAGTGGGAAACATGGATATTAAAGATCTACCGTGTCAAAATTCTTCCTGATCAGTGTCCAGGAAGGGAATTACCTCTTCCTGTCCAGGATCCGAGTCAGGAAGGGCAGTTTTGCACATTCAAATTGTAGAAACTGAAGTTGCTTGCTATTATCATACAACTCATCTGCTTGTCAAAAGTGGAATTTGAACTCTCAAGTTCAAGGTTCTTGAGACTTGAATTCGCTTGATTTCAAGTCCAGCATTCTTGCCATACTACACCAGGCTGCTGCTCAATGATTACCCTCAGCCTGAAGATAGGGGAATAGTTTGTGTATACAAAAAAATTGAATTTTATAGATTGGGAAATACCAGAAAAGAGAATTGGGCCAGAGTTTAGTTTGTCCTTAATCTTGACTACAGTAGCTTCACCCTGTCCAGGAATGTGCTGGAGCCAGCTCTTAGCAGCACAGCAAGCCAATTGTCAAATTTTCAGCGTGAGCATTTACACTTTGGGAATTGGCAAACACTAGAAATCAGGGCTTGATTTATTGTTTTGGTTGTCTAGATTTAAGAAAGGGATGAGAAAATGTTAATAAGGCAGATTAAACTTCAAAGTGTGTTCCACTGCATTTTTGGAGAGCCAGTTGTTAAACATTTACCAGCACACTCTTGCCCTGTATCCTGGTTTCCTCATGAGGCTTCACGGAATCCTTAAGGTGGAAAGGAGATTGGAGAATTGATTTGCTTTGTGTACTGGTGGATAAAGTACTGGACTGGGAGACAAAAATACCTGGATTTGAGCCCCAGCTCATATACCACTTGTTGAATCTATCTATCTATCTGTCTGTCTGTCTATCTAATGTAATCTATCTATATTTATCCTTCTTGTTTTATCTCTTTCTGTTTGTTAGAAAAATCAATATATAGCTTCCAGGCTTAGTGAGGAGAGGGCTTTGTGAACTGCAAAAGTCCTATTTTAGTGAGCTCTTGGTGGTAGTAATGACCAGGGTCTGAACTACATTTTCCAGAAGGACATTGTACTGAATAAACCCAGCAGGAAGATAGGTGGGTATTTACTTGTTTATACCTGCCATTTATGTAGGAGGTAAGAACAGCACTTGACCTTGTTTGTTTGCAGCTTCACCCTTTATTTATTTTTTTTCTTTTGGAGGCAGTCAGAGTTAAGTGACTTTCCCAAGGTCACACAGCTAGGAAGTGTCTGAGGCTAAATTTGAACTCGGGGCCTCCTGACTCCAGGGTCAGTGCTCTATCCACTGCCCTACCCTTTACTTTTCAAAAACAGGTCATAGAATGTTACAACTTAGGGTCTCTTAAAGATCATCTATTCCAACCTTTCCTTTTATTCAGATGGGAAAATTGAGGCCCAGACCAAAAGGAAGTGACTTTGGAGAAGCCCTGTTTTCTTGAGAGCTTCTAAGATTTGATGAAGGCTTTGTGTATTAACCTCATGGCCCCCTTTCAGCTCTTAGCACTCTTCTCCATAATCTCTCCATTCCCTTCCATAGAATCCTGGCCCTTGGCTGTGATGACTTGACTGTCTTTTCATCAGCTTCAGCCAGCCTTTCTCCATCCTACTTCAGAACGTTCACCTGTGATTTCTTCAGGGGACTTATGCCCACCACCATCTCAGATCACCATCCTTCTAAATGATGGTGCCATCGAAAATGAAACAAAACAACAAACTTCCTCTTGATGTTTTGCAGAGCCGTTTTTCAAAAGACTGCCATGATCACCTGGATTTTCTATTTTAATAGGATCTTTCAGGACTTGAATTCTGGCATATCCTTCAAAGTTAGCTCCATGTGATGTCAAGGCACTGGAAGAAAGCAGGCTACCTACTGTAATGCAGCCTGTTTGTGCCAACCAAAATCATCTCCCTCCTTTTGATCATAGCTTCGTCCCCATCACCCACCTCCTACAGGACCATGAGGTCATTTTTAAACTACAGATAATGCAGTGGGATTGAATGAAACCTAAAAGCCTTAGTCAAGGGCGCCATCTGCTGACCTTAATTATGTCCCCTCACATAGACATAGTCCATATTGGGTGGCATAGATTTATAGCCTGCCATTCTTTTGTGGGCATAGGTGAAAAGCTGAATGTGTGTGATTGTGTAGGAAAGATCTGTGAGTTCTCCCAGAAGAACTCCCTTCATCAACTTGGATCCCCTTTTCACCAGTGCAGACAACAACCCATCTATGACTAGGCAGATACATCCTAGGAAATTTTCTGAGGCATACTAACTTGCCCAAGGTGATACAATTAGTGTCAATCAAAAAGTACTAAATTTCAGTCAACAGATAACTTATTAAATAGGAGCAGAATTTGAATCCAGGTCTCTGCCCACTGCTTATATGTATGAATGTACTTGTCCATACAAATGTAACCTGGAACATACTTATCTCTTGGCATCTCTTTTCTGGAATTTTTCTGGAAACCTGGGAAAAAAATCTCTCTTCTGCTCAGTCCTGTCACTTGGCACAAATTTGGCAGAAAAGGGGATGGAGAAAGGAATAAGCATTTATGTAGTGCCTATTGTGTGCCCACCACTTTACAAATATTATGTCGTTTGATCCTTACAGCAACCCTGAGAGGGAAGTGCTGTTATTATCCCCATTTTACAATTGAGGAAATGGAGGCAAACAGAAGTTAAGTGAGTTGCCCAGGCTCACACAGCTAGTAAGTGTCTGAGGCAGGACTTGAATTCAGGTCTTCCTGAGTCCAGACCCAGAGTCCTACCTGTTGCTTCCCCTAGCTGTCTCCTGCAAGCATGTAGAGCACCAAGTGCCAGGAGGAAGTTATATTAAAA